TACTGTTTGGAGCTTTTTCCTTTTCCCATGGAACGGCAGGGACAGAATCAGGAAATAGACCGGGTTTCTAACTCCAGGCTTAAGTGGTGCTGCAGGTCACACGTCGTGGGACATCTGTTCTTGCACCACCAGCAGAGAAGTCAGATTACTTGGGGGGTAAGAGGAGGGAGTGGAGGAAGCCCCTCTCACTAGCATCCACCCAGTGGCCCGCACTCCCTGGTACCATCCTCGCCACAACTCAGGTGGGATCCTGGCGCCCATTTCTATTGGGGGTCGCATTGCGTCGCTGAAGCTCACACCCTTCCTCACTCACAGAGCCAGGGCTTGTTTGGATCCCATCTCCAGACTGTCAGAAACCAAAGCAGTGTGTTGCCTCCATGATAGTGAGTGTGGGCTGCCCCAGCTAGCACACCTTCTCGTGTCCTACCTGTACATCTGCAGGTACCCTCACAGCGGTGTTCTCGAGGCGTGGCCTTCTGTCCGGGCGTTCTTGCTCTGTCTCCATGCTGGCCAGGTAGCGGGTACTTGTCAAGGCTGAGTAGCCCGGCTCCAGGATCCTATCCACAGAGAGCAGTGTGTGAGGACAGTGGCTGGGGCTCCGAGTGACCCTGGCCAGAAACCCCACTGGACCTGCCTGCCCACTGCTTGCTGTCTCCTTAGCATCTTCCCCCTGCCCACAGCCCCGTCTCTGCCCCTTGCTCCAGGGCCCAGGTCCCTGCCAGTGCTGCCACTCGGCTGGGCTGCGGTGGCCAATGACAGGTGTGAGGGGTGGGGGAGTTGGGAAGGTTCCAGCTGGCTGTGGCCGGAGTACCCAGCCCAGCAGCCTGGGGAGGAACTGGAGCCGTCTATGTCTGTGTATAGCAGAAAGAGTAAAGGCGTTGTCTTTCTGGGAAAGAGTGGGGACAGATTTCCTCTCCTCTGTCCCCATCTTCCTGTCGTGAGCCACAGGGGAAGTGGGCAGCTGCCAGGTCGCTCCTGCTGGCTCAAGATTGAGTTGACCAGGAGAAGACGGGAACACACACACACATACACGCACACACACACACGCCCTGTTCCAAAGCTGCCCTCGCTGTCCCCTCTCCATGCATACTCGTCCTCCAAGGGCCCTGGCTCCATGCGTAGCATTCACCTCTTCCTCGTCCCCAGACTGCAACACAGCCGCTTCCCTTCTTGCACGTAGGCTCAGTTGAAAGCCTTGTCAAGTCAACCTCCGCAGGCTCCTGTGATCCAGGTCCTCCCTACGTGACCGTGCCCCTCCAGGCCTCGGATCCTGAGCTTCTCGTCTCTCTCTGGACTGTCATGACAGCCATCACTCCTCTGCTGAATGCTGTGCTTGCTTTGGGAGGCCTTGGTGCAGGAATCAGCAACAGGGGGCTGGCGTTCTTGGAAGCAGCCTTGAACTAGACACACAACGGAGCCACGTGCTGGGCAAGGGTCCTGCCGGAGGGCAGGGGAAGCTGGCCCTGCTGGCTGAAAGCAAAGGCAAAGACGTGGTGTGTGTGCTCTGGGGCACATTGAGCGTGTACCTTTGGTGGCGTTTGAAGGGCGAGGTGTGTGGCAGCCACTAACGCTGCCTGTTCGAGCAGCCCAAAGCTTAGCTTGCTGACAAACCCACAGTCTGTCCAGGACTCAGTGGGGTTCACTCATTTCTGCTCTGCTTGGCATCAGGGGTAGGGCTGGCACCACCTGATAGCTTGCTCAGTAACACGTCTGACAATGGATGCTGGTTGAAAGCTGAAAGCTCAGATGCAGGTGTTGGCGGAGCACCCACAGGGGGCTTCTGTGGGAGGAAGAAAGACCGAGCTTCCCTACGCCACGTGAGGTCTGGGTCCCAGGGGTCCTAAGAGAGGAAGATCCTCTACCCGTCTTAGGTCCAAGCCTCAGAAGACACCTGCTTCCCTCCCCCACTGACTGAAGCACGTAGCTAAGATTGGCCCACATCCAACGGGAGAGAACGCAGGCTCCACCTCGTGATGGAGTGTCGCTGTCACATGGTGGACGTGCATGTGGGAGGCATGGCTGTCTTTGCAAGATATGGCTGGCCTCAACAAGAGGCAGGCAGGGTGCAGGACCTGTAGCCTCATGGATATCACACCCAGGGCATTGGTTTTGTCTTGTAGGAAGCAGGAGCTGGTGGGAAGTGCTGACTGGGGCGTGAGCGGGTGCATCTGTGCTTGTGTGAGCGTTCTCTGGGGTGGTTGGGTGGAAGATTTGGAGGGGGCAGGCAAGACCTATGGTGTCGCTCCCCCTCTTCATGGAGGAATGACACAGGACCCTGCGCTGTTCTTTTGTCTGCTTGGCCCTTCCCGGGTTTGCTGCTGGTTCTTCCCGGGTTGGCTACCGACCCTTCCACCTCCGTGGAAGGGCGGTTCCCCCTGCCACTTTCCCCACTTCCGCGGGGGAGCGGCACACCGCCGGCCGGCTCTCTCGGGGGGGCTGCACAGGTGTTCCTTCAGCTAGATGTTCCCTCAGATGTTCCTGGTGCATGTTGTCTCTCTCCTCCTTTATAGTCCTCTTCACCAATCCCAACTCTGCTACCCACACGCCGAGTACGCTGCTCTCCTCCAATCAGGAGCAGGTCCTACAGTTTATTGGTTGAACTGGAGGCAGCTGAGTAGAAGCTGTTTCTTCCTCTCCCAGCGCCATATTGTGGGAAAGCAGATGCATAGAATAAGTCTTAATTCCAGTAACAGTCTAGTCCGAGTTGCTCCCCACACTATGGCAGGGGGGATGTTGCAGAAATCCGTGGGAGCCAGGGAAGGGGCCTGAGCCGAGGCATACACCTGGAGGTACGGCCTCGTGCAAGGCGTGCTGAGATCACAGGTCCCAGCAATGGGGTGAATGCTGGGGGCGAGATGGCGGGGCCCCTAGCAGAATTCTCAGTGAGAGTGAGGGCGGAAGAAAGACAAAGAGGAGTGGTTTGTGGGGGAAGAGAAAGAGTCTCGTTTGGGAAGCGGTTAGGGATCTCGGAGTGTCCGGGTGGACTTTCCCTAGCCGAGTGAGATGGACCTCAGCGGAAAGCACTGGGGAAGGTTCTGGGTGAGAAACGGAGCTGTGAGCGTTGCCATCCTCGGCACGGTGGGATTGCCCGGGAACAAGCGCAGGATGGGCGTGTGCCCCAGAGGAGGCCGCGGGCTGTTTGGGGGTGGGGGTCAGCCTCTGAGAAATGGTGGGAGGAAGAGGCTCCGGCGAGGCCCCGAGATGAAATCGCTTCCTTCCTGAGTTCAGCCCGGGCCGCGGGCGACTCCCACGTGAAGGCGCTTTGATGCCCAGCGCTGGGGAAGACGATCGGACATTGGCACGTCCCGGTCCGTGGTGCCTGACGTCCCGTAGCCCAGTTCACACACTCGTCCTTTCTTTTCTCTCATGGCCCAAACTCTTACAAACTAGAGGATTTCTGTGATCATTTCGCCTCTTCCCTTAATCCCTCACATATACCCTCTGCACGCAGCGTGTGTCCCCTGCTCCCATAATTGAAGCCCAGAGGCCACTGGGGGACATTTTCCAAATGACTCAGGTGGGGAATCTTCCTGCACCTGTTTTGATTCTCTGGGTCTGGGCTTGGGTGTGTCTCAGGGGCATCCCTGGCTCCAGCATCCCCAGTATTTGCAATCAAAGCTAAGGACCACTGACCTAGCCCAGTTACTTTGCAACTGGGGAGACCAAGGGCCCAGGAAGGTGGACATGGCTGAGGTTGCTCTGCTGAATGGGAGACAGGCCCAGCCCTGGCCTGCTGCAGGCATCTCCCCTCAGCCCACACATGCTTACTTCTTGGGGTCACCTCTCTCGAGCTTCATCTCCCTGTTTGTGCAAACAGCCAGGGACAAAAATGCCTTTCTCACAAAATGTGAACATTGGAATGTATGAAATAAACTCAGTGGGGGCTGTGAGGGGAGGTGGGGCGTGGGAGGTGGGACACAACTCCACCTGAGTGTGTGTGTTGGGGGGGGTGGTTTCCTTCGGACACTGGAGAGGAGTGAGGTGGCCGTGGCCCGAGGTCAGGCAGCAGTCTGGAGTGGCGTCCAGGTTCACAGGTGTGACGAGCATGGACACGAGTGCTGGGCCTGCCGGAAGCACCTGCTGGCCTCATCAAGTCTCTGGCCCGGCAGGTGGGAGACCCCAGTGCCTAGGGTGAGGCCCCTGAGAAGGAGGTGGGCTCAGCTCCAGGAGGAAATAGTAGAGGTGGAGCCCCAGGTGCTGTCCAGAGATGCCAGCCCCTCAGGGAAGGGAAGAGCTCTGGCCCTCTGTGAAATGTGACCACCACTCTCCCGACCTCGAGAAAGAGCTGTGAGCCCAGGAGGCCCAGAGCTCAGCCACTCAACTCCTCCCCTGCCCTCCCTGCTGTGTGCCTGTGCCCTTCAGCCATGGAACTCGTGTGTACTTGGTGCCACAGCACAAGGAGTGTGGGTGGCGTGGGACTCAGAGACAGATGGCTCTGGGAAGGGGATCGTCCCTCTCGGGGAGCAAGCACCATCAGCGATGCTGCCACAAGAGCCGAGATATCCCCATAGGAACAGCTAACAGCCTTGTGAGGGTGTGAGGGGGACACTATTCCAAACCAGCTGGGCTGGAGGCCACACCATGGGTTTCTCACTGAGACATCAGAGCCAGGCCCTGGAGGGTGGTCCTGGGGCTGGAGGACAGGTTCGGTACGGCCTGGGGCATCAGCGGGGCAGGGGGGTGGCACAGAGGGGACAGGCAGCAGCTAGGGAGCAGTCTAAGCCGGCGAGTGCCCCAGAGGCCTGGCTGAGCACAGGTGCCTTTCCCTCGGGGTGGCTTTCCAGCCCTGTCCTGTGGTCTTACTGGGCCATTTGTGCTAACAGTGGTAAGAACACAGCAAAGGTAGGAAAGCTAACATTTCCAAGTGTTTCCTGTAGGGTGAGCACCTTGTGAAATCAGGGTGAGGAGCCCCACCTGGCTGCTGGGCCCCAGCAGGGGAGGCTGGGAGGAGAGCAGGGCTCACGGCGCGCGGAGCTCATGTCCCGTGTGTGTTCTCGCAGATGTTCGTGCTCTGCCATGGCCTCCTGCAGCTCTGCCAGCTCCTGTACAGCGCCTACTTCAAGAGCAGCCTCACCACCATAGAGAAGCGCTTCGGGCTCTCCAGTTCTTCCTCGGGTCTCATCTCCAGCTTGAACGAGGTAAGTACGGGCTACTGACCCATCAGACCCCATGGGGTGCACCTCCCTGGCCATAGGACCTGGGATGTGTGCACAGGGGCCAGGGAGTGGGCATAGCAGAAGCAGCTGCAGCTCCTGGGGCTCTACCTGTGCCAGGCACTGAGCTGACAGCCTGTGAACAGGTGCTCTGCTCATAGCCACCGGACAGGTAAGGATACTGAGACTCGGCAGGACACGTGCATTGGCCCAAGTATGCAAGGGGAGCCCCAGGCCTGGGCATCTCCTGTCTCCTGAGGCTTGTAGGGACTGTTGGCGTTTAATAGCCTTGACAGCTGGATGAGGTCAGGTCTCTGTGATGCCCCCAGCAACCTGGCTGGCCCTGGCATGCAACACGAGTGGCTCAGTCGCAGTTGTCTTTCCTCCAGCATTCAGACACAGCCTCTGAATCATTCTCAACATGATGTTCTAGCCCCCTCTGCTAATCACAACCAAAAGCTTGCTGATAAGGTGACTCTTGTCTTCCACCTCAACCCAGATAAGAGAACCCTAGGATCTCATGAAGCTTGTCCCTAGGCTTGGAACAAAAACATGGGCCCAGGAACAACTGCAGTTTGCACGGGGCAGGGAGCACCTAGCTGGGACTTGTTGAAGACAGGGTGTTGATTAGGCAAATATTTGCCCAGGGCGATAGTTCAATCAAAATGGGGGAAAATATCCATGCAATTTATCAGGAAAGAAGAGAGTGTGGGAAGCCACAGCTAGCCCAGGTTTATTCAGAAGGAGAAAGCCTGGGAGGGGCTCACTCCCAGGGGAACCCACGGTAGAGAGAGAGCCCCCTCCCTTGCAGACTAGGGGTTTATAAAGTCCAAAGTGGCGGGAAGGGACTGGGGGCTCTGCACTCTCTGGGAGCTGCTGAGATAGCGGGAGAGCCTGGGCTCGCTGTAAAGGTCCTGCAAGATCACAGTGCGAGCTGAGGCTGGTCTCTGGGGCTGAGCTGCTGACTGGGGGAGAGAGCCTGGGAGGAGTGCGGAAAGCTCAGGCCGACAGCTGGATTCTTCAGATAGTGGTGTGTCCAGCAGTCCAGGCAGGGCAGGGCTGGTCTTGGCAGGGCGGGGCTGTGTTAGCAGAGCAGAGACATGGGGGCCTGCTTGCTGTATGTAGGTGAGAGGTCAACACAGATCTAAGGCTTTATGTCCTTTCCCTCAGATGGACTTTTTGAGACTCTGACTTTAGATCATGCCATGGACATGATGGGAGAGGGACGTGGTGGGTGAGAGAAGACAGCTGCAGGCCAGGGCCGAGCAGACACGGCAGGTGGGAGGCCTGGGGGCTGCACATTCTGCCTGCCTCCTTCCATGCTCCCTGGGCCTGTCTGGACTGAGACATCAGAAGGGCAGGGCTGTGTCACAGATGCGGTTTGTGACAGCTTTCTGTGGTCTCCCAGCAAGGCCACTCCAAGGCTGCAGGTGCTGAGGCCCAAGATCCACTTCTCAGCTAGATCACTGGATTTGAAAAAGCATCCACTAAGGGAGCCTAGTTCTGGAAAAGGGCTCCACTGCCAGAGAACAGCCAGCCTCAGCGGTCAGACATGTTGGGGTCCCAGGGGAGCCTGGATGGAGCCCACCACCCTGTCCTTCCTGCTGATTTCCGTGGGGATAGGGGCCTCCGCCATCCCTCACACAGACTTTCCAAGCCAGCCCCAGTTAGCATAGCAAAACCATGGGGAGACAGGACATTCACAAAGTCCGTGAACCTCAAGAGCAGAGCTCTCCTTCCAGGCACAAGTCCCAGAAGGTCACAGAGCCGCCTCCGGCCGAGGCTGGAGCAGGTCTCTGCTCGGGCCAGGCCCCCGCCTTGCACACCTGCTCTCTCCCCTCCTCTCGTGGTGGTAGCTTCTTCCTCCTGGCCCTGCGGCAGCGGTGGTCTGCTCAGCAACTGTGTCCTCTCCCCCAGAAAACCTACCATGTACTCATCCATCCATTCATTAGTTCAACAAGTATTTAATGAGCGCCAACTGCATGCCGGATACACTCTCAGTCTTCCTGGCTGCTCCCTCCCCCTCTTCCCGAACGTACAACGTTGGGTGTTCCCAGGAGACAGGAATGAACAGACACAGATCTCTGCCCATGTGTCCTTCTGAAGATAAATAAATAAGATCCATGATAGTCCAAATGATGACACATGCCGGGAAGCAAGATAGAGCCGTGGAGGGGAAGGGGTGGGGCACAGTGATGGGACTGGCAGTGGGGTTGACAGGCGTGTGTAAGTGCAGAGATCAGGGAGGCTTAGTGAGAAGCCGCCCCTCAGCCAGACCTGGAATTGCTGACCCATGTAGGGTGCCCTGTGGACTAGCCCAGGGCAGAGAATGCCTGTGATGTGTCCAACAACAGCTGGAGGCAGAGTGGCGGGGCTGGGGGGGGGGGGGGGAGAGGAGAGGACAGCAGATCAGAGAGCCAGCAGGATATGGCCCCCAAGGCTCTGGGGAGTGTTTGCAAAGAAATCCCAGCTCATGCCACCGCCTACCCAACCCCATGGACCTGGGTAAGTGACGAAATATTCTGAACCCCAGCTTGGTCATCTATAGAATAAGGGTTGTGGCATGGCTAGATGAGAAACTGACTACAAGCCGGAGTCCTTGGATTCAGGAGCCATCTGGGATCGAAGACTTCTTTGGATTTCTGTCTTGAAGGTTTAGTCCCAGGAAGGTTGAAGGGCAGGCTGGGAGCTCTGCGTGGTCTCTGGATCCTTCGCTTGGCCTGCTCTAGAAGACAGAGGCTGGCGACAGTCTCTGCCAACAGAGGGGAAGCTGAAGCTGCCCGTGATGGCCCAGTGCAAGGCTGGCACTGCAGCTCTGCCTGGGCCCCAGCTAGCCTGCACAGCCTCTCCCCATCTCTGGTTGTCCTGGAGCAGGTGTGCTCAGCTGTCCTCTGTACATGGGTAGGACAGGAACTCTGCTCTCACTCAGCCCCGCTGCTGTCTCCGCAGATCAGCAATGCCATCCTCATCATCTTTGTCAGCTACTTCGGCAGCCGGGTGCACCGTCCACGGCTGATCGGCATCGGGGGTCTCCTGCTGGCTGCTGGTGCCTTCGTCCTCACCCTGCCGCACTTCCTCTCGGAGCCCTACCAATACACCTCAGTCAGCGTCGGTGAGTGGCCCCCAGCCCCGTGTCAGGGTAAGGAATGAGCAGGTGGATCTCCGAGTTGGTGGGATGAGAATGGCAGATGCCATGGTGGGTTAAGCTGTCCTCTCCCGCCAGGAAGTTTCTCTGGCTTTGGTTCTATTTCTCCCCAAAGCCCATGGCAAACTTGAAACCTGCTGGAGGAGGTGGAGCTATGGAGAGACGACCTGAGCCCTGGCTCACTGGGGAAGGGGCGAGCGTGCAGCCAGGCTCGCATCCCGGCTGTGACTCCCTGTGCTCCATGCCAGGCTTGTAAGCAGCCGTGCTTGGCTGGGAGAGAGCGGAAGCACAGGTCACAGTGAGAACTGTGGCTGTGTCTTCACTTGGCATCATTCTCGGGGCCAGGGTGCTCTCGTTCTAGCATCTCATCCGACGCCCAGTGAGGCAGAGAAGAGCTATGCGGACTTGATGCTCGCAGGTGTCCAGCAGCTTCCCCAAGGCCCAGTGAGTTGGGAAGAGGGAGACTCGGGTCTCCTGCTGCTTAGACGAGTGGTGCTTGGGGGGACCAGATCTCTGGGTTGCAGCGAGATGTCCTATAGCAGGGAGAGGTGGGTGAGCCTGCCGCACGCTTCACAAACAGTTTTCACACAGTGCTGAGTTGCCTGGAAAGAGTTCCTTTTTCCTTAAAAATTATTTTATTTCTTTATAATATGAAAAATTTCAAAATAAAGCCAATTAAAATATACTTAAAGTCGCATGTATATAAATGTTGCCATTTTGGGCCGGCGCCGAGGCTCAATAGGCTAATCCTCCGCCTAGCGGCGCCAGCACACTGGGTTCTAGTCCCGGTTGGGGCGCCGGATTCTGTCCCGGTTGCCCCTCTTCCAGGCCAGCTCTCTGCTGTGGCCAGGGAGTGCAGTGGAGGATGGCCCAGGTGCTTGGACCCTGCACCCCATGGGAGACCAGGAAAAGCACCTGGCTCCTGGCTTCGGATCAGCACGCTGCGCTGGCCGCGGCGGCCATTGGAGGGTGAACCAACGGCAAAGGAAGACCTTTCTCTCTGTCTCTCTCTCTCTCACTGTCCACTCTGCCTGTCAGAAAATAAATAAATAAATAAATAAATTAAAAAAACCCATTCCTGTAAGGCTGGATAACATTCCACGGACGACGACATTTTGTTTATGCATCCGTCTGTTGGTGGGCGCTTGGGGTGATGGATGCCTTTGTTCAAAAGAAATGAGACATCGCCTCCCCGCTTCTTCCCCAGAGGCAGCCACAGGTCCACAGTTGCTGTCTCAGGCCCTTGCTTGCTGTGTTCTTTCCCCACTTCCAATGCCCTGTTTTTTGATCCCCACTGATTTGGAAGTTAGACATTATAAGCTATCCCTACATTTTAAATTGTTAAAAAATTACACGGTAAAATGGACCTCCTGCTGTGGGTGATGTACAGTCCTACACATCTTCACCCATGTATAGGTTTATGTAGCCACCAGCCCAGGCAGCATGGAGACCAGCAGTTCCATCCCCCCAAGAACTCCTCCATCTCCATCATGCTGGCCCTTTATGCTACACGCTCTCCCTGGCAACCACACTTATAAATGGAAACACAAAGACCAGCACATGCCTCTGGAAGTCTTCCAAGTTGCGGTGTCACTCAGTAGCTCATTTCTTTTCCTGTCGTGTAGCAGCCCACCATAGGCATTCACCTACCAAAAGCCATTTGCACTGTCTCCAGCCCGTCACTGTTATTAATGGAGCTGCTCTAGATATCTGTGGACAGGTTTTGGGGGGAACGCAAGTTTACGATGTTGAACGTTGTTTAAGGTGTTTATTTGTCATCTGGAAGTCCTCTTTGGTCAAAGTCTGTCCAAGTCTTCTGCCTCATACTGAATCTGAGTTCTCACAAATGCTAGGCACAGGTTCCGTATTGGCTATGAGAGTTGCAGATACTCCCTCCCAGTCTTTAGCATATCTTTTTACCTTCTTTTAGTGGTGTTGTTTGCCAATAACAAGTTCTGGATTTTTATTAAGTCCAACTTATCATTATTTTTCTTTTATGGGCCATGCTTTTGGTGCCACAGTTAAGAGCTCTTTGCGTAATCCCAAGTCAGGAAGATTGTCCTCTGTGATTTTCTAGAGGTTTTATATTTACATTTAGATCTGTAATTCGTTTGGAGCTAATGTTTGTAAGTTCTTTAACATTTTTTAATATGAATGGCAAATTGTTTCAGCATCAATTGTTGAAAAGACTATTTTCTCAAGATGATGAATGTCCATGTTTTCCAAGATAACACAATGAAGACCCTAAGATGTTCTCTTCTCCCATCGTCCATGACTGTTGACAGTACTTTAGTTCCATGGGTCTTTTTTTTTTTTTTTTTTGACAGGCAGAGTGGACAGTGAGAGAGAGAGACAGAGAGAAAGGTCTTCCTTTGCCGTTGGTTTACCCTCCAATGGCCGCCGCGGCCAGCGCGCTGCGGCCGGCGCACCGCGCTGATCCGATGGCAGAAGCCAGGAGCCAGGTGCTTTTCCTGGTCTCCCATGGGGTGCAGGGCCCAAGCACCTGGGCCATCCTCCACTGCACTCCCTGGCCACAGCAGAGAGCTGGCCTGGAAGAGGGGCAACCGGGACAGAATCCGGCGCCCCAACCGGGACTAGAACCCGGTGTGCCGGCGCCGCTAGGCAGAGGATTAGCCTACTGAGCCGCGGCGCCTGCCAGTTCCATGGGTCTTAACCTCGGCATAGTGGCAACTGTTATGAACTATCATATTGTTGTTTATAAATAGGTCAGTGGTCTAGTTTCTTTGTTCACCACTGCTTCATGCACTTTACCCACCCTGATGATTCCATTTCCTTTTTCCTGGAGTGCGTCCTTTAGTGTTCCTCTCAGGTGAGCCCATGGGGAAGAATGTGCCGGTCTTACCCTTGCTCTCATGGTCCAGCTACAGATGCAGTTTTGAAGGAGTGATTGTTTGGAAAGTTCTAGATCTCTGACTTCTGGCATCTCCTGGTGGAACTGGGTCTAATTATCCTCTCTAGTTAGGCAGTAATTCCACCTACATCTACAGGGCGTGCATTTTGAGATCTGCAGTGGGTATCAACCCTCAGATAGAACCAGTCCCTGTATATGTGTGTGCTGTTTCCTCCTGTATATGCATGGCCATGGTAAGGTCTAATTTCTAAATTAGACACAGTAAGACAGTAACATCAACCAGTAAGAATAAAGAGCAACTATAAAAATATACAGTAAAAAGCACATTTAAAGCTTGTAAGTTGTTGATTTCTGGAATTCTGTGTTGACTACTTTCAGACATTGGTTGACTGCAGATAAGGGAAACTGTGGCAGAAGGGGTGGCTGCTGTGTTTCAGGTTTCCCCCTTCTCCATTGCTCTGCATGTCACCATAGGCTGAGTACAGACTAATTCTTCTGGATCTGATCAGAAGTTCAGTGTGCTGTTCCTTTTGAAGAGTAGGTTTTTTTTTTTTTTAATTCTGAAAAACTCAAACCAAAATGCATCTCATAGCACACACCTTTGCTTTCTCTACCCTTTCCTCTAGAAATACTTCCGTATACACGTTGGTCATTTTTGTTTCTGGGCTTCTTGTCTCTTAACCTTACTTTTGTAGTTTTCAGTGTGGTGTGTCATCTGGATTCCTCTGTGGTGTATCCTGGGTGATTTCCTTAGATTAAGTCTTTCTGTTCACTTAGCCTCTCTCTAGCTATGGGAATCTGCTGTCTCATCCTCCCTTACGTTGTAAATGTTAATGGCTTCATATATTTTGCTAATTTCTGAAAGTTCTTAGGAGTTTTTCAAATCTGCCCGACTTTCTTGGTTTCTTGGTGTTTCCTTATTCTGTCCGTTTCTCTCTGATGTCTTTAATTATTTTAAATGTATGTGTCTCACGGTCCTTTTCAGGTTGTTCCATCAGCTCAAGTTCTGAGAGTGTTAGTGCTCCCCATGTTTTGTGTCTGCTCGCTCTTGCTTGTAGTGGCTGAGTCCCTGTGTATTCCAAGGCGTTTGCCCACTGAGCCATTTGCCATGGAATTTTTTCCCCTGTAGAAAATCGTATGAAGTCAGGGTGGGGGAACAGCCCTGCAGAGTGTTTTCTTTTTCTTCAAAACATTTATTTATTGAAAGTCAAAGTTACACAGAGAGAAAAGGAGAGAGAGAGAGAGAGAGAGAGAGAGAGAGAGAGAGAGAGGTCTCCCACCTGCTGGTTCACTCCCCAATTGGCTGCAACGGCCAGAGCTGTGCAGATCCAAAGCCAGGAGCTAGGAGCTTCTTCCAGGTCTCCCACATGGATGCAGGAGCCCAAGGACTTGGACCATCTTCTACTGCTTTCCCAGGTCATAGCAGAGAGCTGGAACAGAAGTGAAGCAGCCAGAACTCGAATCGGCACCCAAATAGGACGCCAGCACTCCAGGTGGAGACTTTACCCACCATGCTGCAGCGCTGGCCCCTGCATAGTGGTTTTCTGTGTGCATTTACTTGGCTCCTGGGGGACATTATTGCTTTGGAGCTAATTTTATGTTAATGTACTAGCATGAGGTGTAGTCGCACTGGTTTTTAGAGAAGTAGGAAGAGTCCTTGGTTTGGGAATGAGTAGCAGTGAGAGGCCAAGTTCATAAATGCTCCTCTGTAGTCCACTGGAGTTGAAGGAGTCTGAGGATGGATGAGCCACCCAGGGATGTGCTAGGGGAATAGTTGATTCCAGTTTGCTTGAATACCAGGCTCTCTTTTTGATTTTTTTAAAAATGCATTTTTTTTATTTAGTTGAGAGGCAGAAAGAGCTCACTTCTGCTGGTTCACCGCCTAAATGCCTACAACCCAAAGCTGAGAACCAGCATCACCTGCTGCTTCCCAGGGTGTGCATTAGCAAAGAGCTGTAATTGAGGACAGAGCCAGGGCTGGAGCCCAGGCAACCCCAATTTTAGGATGCAGGTGTCCCAGCTGGTATCTTAACTACCTGGCCAAAAGTCCGCCCCCAGGCTCTCTTTACAGTCGAACGTGGAGACCAGGTTTATG